AAGAGAGAGAGGGAAGAGAGGGAGGGGGGAAGAGAGGGAGAGAGAGAGAGATGGGGGGGGAGAGAGGGGGGGAAGAGAGAGGAGAGGGGAAGAGAGAGAGAAGGAGAAGGACAGAGAGAGAAGAGAGAGAAGGGAACAGAGAGAAGGAAGAGAGAGGGAGGGAGGGAGAGAGAGGGGGAAGAGAGGGAAGAGAGAGAGGGGATGAAGAGGGAGGGAAGAGAGGGGGGGAAGAGAGAGGGAAGAGGAGAAAGAAAAAGAGGGATAAAGAGAGAGAGTGAAAGAAGAGAGAGGTGGGGAAGGGAGAGAGAGAGGAGGGGGGAAGATAGAGAGAAAGAAAAAGAGGGAGAAAGAGAGAGGGAAAAAAGAGAGGAAAGAAAGTGAGGGGGGAGAGAAGGAGAAAGAAAAGAGAGAGTGGGGGGAGAGAGAGGGGGGGGGGGGAGGGGAAAAAGAGGGAAGAGAGAGGGGGGAAAAAGAGAGGGGGGAAAGAGAGGGGGGAAGAGAGAGAGGGGGGAAGAAGAAAGAGAGGGGGGAGGGGGAGAAAGAGAGAGGGGGGAAAGAGAGAAGAAGAGAGAGGAGGGGAAGAGAGAGAGGGGGGGGAGAGAGAGAGGGGGAGAAAGAGAGGAAGAGAGAGAGGGGAAGAGGAGGAGAGAGGGGGAGAGAGAGGGGGCAAAGAGGGAGAGAGGGGGAGGGAGAGAGAGAGAGAGAGAGGAGAAAGATAGAAAGAGACAGGGAAGAGAGAGAGAATAATATATACATACACACACTTATTGAACGCTCTAGCACTCTCATTGGGGAGGGGGGTCGCAAAATTTTTTCTGTTGCTTAGGGCAGCACAAAATCTAAATACACTACTGTCGCCTACATGTGCCTAATGCGCACAACCATTACAGAGGGCACTGCAGATTTGCTTTTTGTCAAATATATGGAGGTTAAAGCAAACCTGTGCCCCTGCAGAGCAATGCAAGAGGTTTCTTTTAGCACAACCTTCTCTTCAACTCATGTACACCTTTGCTTTGATCTCCTGCTGTTTTGCAGGCACCAGCAGTGAACAAGATAGTACTGCCAGGTATAGAGGAACATGAGGCCCCCTCTGCCCTTCTCTCATTGACAGCATTGGTACTTGGTGGATGTCCCAACACTGCTACATAGATCACAGTCTTCAGCCTTGTGTAAGCTTCGGATACAGTGACTGTGCGCTTACAGGGGGCTACAGTACCTTTCTTGGACTGGACCACAGGGTTGCAAAAGGAAAGGGGAGCATGTACTGCTGGTGGGGGACATTAAAGTGAACCTGATGCCTTGCGCTACACAGGAAGATCACAAGTTCATTTTAGGATTAATGTACCGATTGTGGTGTTTTATTATATGTTATTCATTATTTTTTACCTGTTGCCTTCAATAAGTATTAATCAGACTTATGATCGATGTCTGAATAATAAATCTTTTTATAAGGAATATCAACTTTATGTTCTGTGGCCTTCACTTTAGGGTGGTGAGCAATAGATCAGCTTGGGAGGAAGGATGAGTGAGGGCTAAGCTTGACTTTTACATGAAGTCTAGATCTGCATGTATTCTTAGGCCACATTCACACTACTTGTAGAAATGAGTGTGTTCCTGTTTACTTTTTTTTTGCACATTTTTCACGTTTTTAAACATCGCACATAGGGCAGCCTAGTAAATGGGCTGTCCTATGTGCAACAAACTTGCCAAAGAAGCTCCTGATTTTTTTTCAATGTGCTATTTGCTGAATTTGTAGTGCATTTATTGCTCAACAAAATGCACATCTGCTAACTGTGTTTGGGGTGTGTCATTAAATATTAATGGAACCACAAGTGCTACGCACACTTGCAGTGCATTTCCAGGATGTGCACAAAAAATGTACTGCATGCATTCCAAACGCAAAAGTGTGAATGCAGCCTTAGATCTACATATATCTTGGATCTAATAAGCATTCTGACTATCAGCTTCCACTAAAGTGATGTTTCTAAGTGAATAAAGTTGTGTTGAATACAATGGGTACCCAAAATGTTAATGGCAGAGCAGAAGGAAATCCAGTTGAAAATTACCAGAAAACATTTGACTGAATACAGGTGTGACATTTATTTAATTAAATCATGAACTCCAGGGATGACATATTTTGTAACACTTACATTAGACCCGCTTTGCGTTAAATCTGTAATACTTGGCCAGCCTCTGTAGAAGGTTTAAATCACTTTAGTAAACCCAGCTACGACAATGATAGCTGCTGTCTTTGCAGTGCTATGTCAAGCTGATGCCTTTCTGCATAGTACCCATGGGGGGGGGGGGGGGGGGGGGGGGGGGGAGGGTCACTTCTCCAGCACGACCACAATCCAGAGAACACCCTGTATTTTTTCAATGAATGCAAACTGTTCTTGATTGGATGAGGTGGAGAGGGCGGGCAATGATGTTCCAATCTCCACCTCATCCAATCAAAGTACGCATTGCATTAATTGAGAAAAATACAAGATGCTCTCTAAATGGTGGCTGTGTCTGTCATAAGAGCAATCCTTAAATCCTTATGAGGTCTGACCATAGCTGTGGGTGTGAATGCCATCTTATGCCTGTGACCAACTTTAGAGCTGTATTAGTGTACTGGGGCATACATGTTAGTTATATATACCTCTATGCAATGGATATGCACTGCATCCTGGGTCTTTTTTATTAGTTTGTACAGGCACATGCTTTGCTACAAGGTTTAGTTTACTATGCCAGTGTATTTCAACCCTTTTCTCAGCCAAGGTACCCTTTATAATTCTGCACAATCTCAAGGCACCCCATTTTAAAATGTAATAACAAAACTAACAGTTTTACATCACAGCAGCATCAACACACATAGGACACCCAACATTGGAGGTAATTTATTCCTCCACCTATGCACATTGGTACTGACTAGTATTCCAGTGTTTCTCCTCTCCCTCAGTTTTCTATCACTCAGCTAACATGACTTCAGTGCTGACAGATATGGGCAGGGGAGGAGCAAAAAAGGATGCTGTGCCAAGTGCCCGACCTACTCCTTATCAACCAATAATGTCAGCAGTTGTTAGAATGCCAGGATCTTGCCCAAACAGTGCCCAAGGTTGTAGTACTGCAAAATAAAACTTGTGGCTTTGTGCAACAAAAAAGGCAGCCTTGATCCACTCACTGCACTGGCTCGTTGACAATTTGTGGGAAATTTGTGGCACCCCACACCATGGTTGATCAAGGGTATACTAAGCTATAATGATATATGTGATAATGGCCATTATTTTCAACAATGGGAGTCACAATGTATTTTTAAATTTGTGAGGTTTTTGTTTTTTTTCAAATAAAAAGGGTTGAAGCTACCCAACTAGGAAACAGCAAAAATATGACCATGATATACTAAAAACTAAAAGGAAATGTTTTGGGTTTACTTTAAGGTAAATAACACCTATCTCTTATCACATGATCTACATACCCTCCACTGCATCTGTTCTAGGCCTGAACAACAGGTTAGGGAGCATTAGCTACAATTACACTTGTCACGTCCCTGATTTGGCATTGCCCTAGCTTGATTAGATTGCCCCTAAGCTCCAGTAACTTTGACCCCCAGCTTGTTTACTAATATTCCTCCTAATTTGCCTGCTCTTGCCATTGGCCTGAACTTTGACCTTGTTTCAGTTTAAAATGTGGCTCCTCATTGCCCTTCTGTCAGTTGCCTGATGAAAGAGAGTTCTCACTGAGCTGTGCAAGCAAACTGCAATTACCAACAAGAACAACTATAGTAAAAAAAAAAAAAAAAATCTCACCACCCAAAACTTATAAACTTGCTAACTATTAATTGTGTCAGCATGTTGATTCACTAACTTTATTTATATATTTCTCCAGATCTCTAAAGGAAACATCTCTGCATCTGGATTCCCAGCTTGCAAAAATTGTTCTAATCTAATGGATCCTTCTTTCCTCAATTTGGAAGAGGGCAACAGGAGGTCTCTCTGTGAAGTCCTTAAGACATAGTGTATGGACTGGAAGATGATTAAGCCCAATACTATCCTAACCTACTTAAAAAACACATACTTTAGTGTACAAAGTAAATGTTTAAAGTGTATATCAAAATGTAAAATAAAAAAATATTTTTGGTACATCTCTGCATGACGTGCACATTTCCCTTTTTTATGCCTTTAAAGCCTAAGTTTAGTTATTAAAAAAAAACAGTCTTTACCTGTTTAATAATGTTGGTGCATTGCCATTTATTTTGCCTTTTTTTAACAATATACTGTGAGCTGGGGATAGGTAGCCGGTACATAAGCCCCATAGGGTAAGCACTTGCTCAGGCACAGATACCAAATCCAATGAGGTGGTGACAAACAGTGTGATGCTTATTGCCGATATTTACAAGACTGGGCACAGGTGCTGTACAATGGTTCAGAAAATGAACAAGGCAAAAAAAAACAAAACAAAAGCCTAGCCGTATCCCAGCTACACAAAAATGGAGGTCCTAACTAACAGGCTGAGCAAGCTACAGCTCCAGACATACAGTTTGTTAGATTTTACCAACCTTTGCGCTCTGTCAGGCTCTGGTTCCGTGCTTTTTGCATTTTGTAGAAACTCACTACAGTCTATTGGAAACATGGTTTCCTATTGGACACATTTACAGTACATCTATGCATTTTCAGCCCCTGTGTTTTTGAATAGGGTCAGGGACACTTTTGTTCGCAGCAGATTGCAACACGTATAGGTGTGAACCAGGCCTCAGACAGGACTTGTCTGATCCCCAGGCCAAGAGCGCTGGTTCCAGGTTCCAGGTGAGATTAACCGGTTCCCAACAGCGCTAAAGCCGAAGGAAGGCTACAGCACGGTTGTGTAATCCTGTGACGATGTCCATGGACGTCATTCCAGAACAGACCCCCTCCCTGCGCACCCCCAGAGGAGCGCACCCAGCGCCGTCGGTAATCGCTGTGTCCTACGGACACAGCTGATCACGTGATAAAGTAAACAGACAATCACGGCAGCCTTTTACCAGCACAGCAGATCACCAGGTAAATACAGTTGCCAGTTATCATCCGCACTTCCCTCACGCTATGACCGCGTGAGGAAAGTACTGCCGAGGACCAGCAATTGTCAGCAAAGGGATCGGCACTGATCATCAGGGCACTGATGATTAGTGCCCTGATGATCAGTGCCACCCACCTGTGCCCAGAAGTGCTTCCCACCTGTGCCCTGCAGTGCCACCCCACCTGTGCCACTCACCTGGGCCCTGCAGTGCCACCCACTTGTGCCCATCAGTGCCACCCACCTGTGCCCTGCAGTGCCACCCACCTGTGTCCATCAGTGCCACCCACCTGTTCCCTGCAGTGCCACCCACCTGTGCCCATCAGTGCTGTCTAATAGTGCTGCCCATCAGTGCCCAGCAATGCTGCCTATCAGTGCCGCCCATCAGTGCCACCCATCAGTGCCCAGCAGTGCCACCCATTAGTACAGCATCATCAGTGCTACCTATCAGAGCAGCATCATCAGTGCCGCCTACCAATGTCGCCTATCAGTGCCTCCTATCAGTGCCCAACAGTGCTGCCTATCCGTGCCACCTCATCAGTGCCCATCAGTGCTGCCTATCAGTGCCCATCAATGCTGTCTATCAGTGCAACCTCATCAACGCACATCAGTGATGGAGAAAAATTACCTGTTTGCAAAACTTTATAATAGAAACAAAGAAAAAGAGTTTTTTCACATTTTTTGCTCTTTTTTTGTTTATAGCGCAAAAAATAAAAACACCCAGTGCAAGTAAATACCACCAGAAGAAAGCTCTATTTGTGTGAAAAAAAAAATTATAAAAATTTCATATGGGTGCAGTGTTGCATGACCGCGAAATTGTCATTCAAAGTATGACAGCGCCGAAAGCTGAAAATTGGCCTGGGCAGGAAGGGGGTATAAGTGCTCGGTAGGGCAGTGGTTCAGTTGGCAGTGGAGAGAAGAGTAAACTCTGCACTGGACCACAGATCAGAAATCCCTAAATGTGTATGAGAGGAACCTGGGAGACCTAGAAACCCCAAACAGGACTTTCCCAGGCTCCCTCTGGGACTCTCTGCTACAATACTTAGTGAATTTACAATCCAATAGCCTGGTGTTTATTTCCTATATACAAATATAGTTAGGTAATGTTTTAATACTTAGGTCCCTTTTAGACAGGGTGGACCCGTCAGCAGATCTGCCTGCTCAGCGAGGAATCTCTCCGATGATCCCACTGAGCGAGCGGATGACAGGTCTGTGTTTCACTCCTCTGCTGCAGAGTGGACACAGACACAGCCCGTTGTCTTCTATGGGGGGATTGGATGAAAATGGGCTGCTTGTCCGTTTCCACCCGACTGTGATCTCATCTGATCCGCTAGACGGATAGGGAACAGATCCCCATCCGTCTGTTTTTGGCATACTGGACACTTGTCCACTGACACACTCTGGTCCATAGAGGTCTATGGATGGTCTGATTGAGTCTACCTGAAAAAATGACAAGTGGACCAGATTGGACCGTCAGTGTGAAAGAGGCCTAAAGCTAATGTAGGTCTTTGCAGAAAGCTATCATAAAACCAGGTGTGTCAGAGGGTACAAAGAGGTTCAGAGAATGGTGGCAGAGACCAGAGGACCCATCATACCAAGCAGATCCTTCGGGGGTTAGCACTACAATTGTTTTTTTTCTTTGGTTGGGTTTTCTTCTATGTAATTAAACACAAATGTCTATGAATTTGGTCTTGTACCCTGACCTTTTCTCATTCCAGTATGGTCTAGTTGAAGTCATTGCTATGATAATGTTATACAGTATTAGACTTATACTAGGGGCTTTTTAATTGCAATGTTTTCACAAAAAAATATGGGAGACATACCATACTGACACAACCCAGCACATCTAATGTTGATGATATGTCAACAGAAGTGGAGTATTACATAATAGTTTGTCTCCTTTACCACCTTCTTAGCTACACACCCTTCTATTGTAAAGTGACTAGACTATTGTCCTGATATGGGCTCTGTCTATTCATCTTACCACCTAGACATTGTGGGTTGAGTAATGAACAGGAGGAAAGCTGATGGCTGCTCATGTCTCTTCTATTAGCATAAATACATCATATACTGTACAAGTTCAGGGGGATTTATAAAGAAAGTAATTAAAAACACAATAACTAAGTAGTAACTTCATAATACAATTTGCAACATTACAAATCACTTATCATTTTTGTCCAGCCGTTCTTAGCTACTGAGGTCTGAAGGGTTAGTGTGAGCTGTTACACACCATTGCTCTCTGCAAAGTTGATAATTAGGTCTAAATAAAATACATAGGAATTAGGGAAGGTGATGGCTAATCCTGATTTTTTTTTAAATTTAATTTATGTAGATCTCTTCTACAGTTACTCCCCTGACATATGCAACCTAATTATGAAGTTTTATCTTTTTAATGGGCACTTCATCGAATGTAACTAGTAATAAAAATACAGCTGATATTGTGTCTCTGTTTATGTATACACACGTCAAGGTCTAGCTGGCAATATCCTTAGGCCATTTTACCTTATCCTATTTCTCAAATTGTCCTAATGTGTCTCCGCCATCACTCAGTCCTTTCACAAAGGGTACAGCTGGACACACTGATTACGCTCTGAATTCCTAAAATTGCCCAAATGTTGTCTTTATGTCATGATCACTCTGCACTCAGAAAATAGATGGTCAAAAGGATAAATTGTGGCCATATTTGCTATTAAGATACAGTCATGAAGAGTAGATCCATGCCTGCAAAGCTGTTTAGAGCCCACACAAGTCTACACCAGAACATGTAATGTGCCTACCCTGGCATAGATTTGCTAGAGCATGAACATTTACAGTAAGCCATCTTGTGTTCGGATCTAAAAGGTCTTGTATTGGGTGATCCATTCATGTTCATCTGCTTTGTGACTTGGTTTCCGTGTTTATGACCCCCCCCCCCCCCCCCCCCGTTATCTTGACCACATTCTGCATGTTGCTAGCTTGCTGTCACCTATAGCTGCTCATTTGGTAGCTGACTACCTATACCCTGTGCCACATATTTTGATACTGGCTTGTGACTTGCTCTATATTCTAGGCTGAACTTTACTTTTCATTGTAAAGTTATGCTGAACTTTTCTTTTCATTGAACCAAAAATGTACTGCTTTCCCTGATCTGGAATTGTTACCCGAACAGGAGACTGTGACTCATTGCCTAACTAAAAGTCTTCAGCTGCCTTCCCTAATCTTGGCTTGTGGCCTGACCAGGAATCTGTGGCAGTCTAGTGTACTGCCTGAGCAAAACATTCTGCTGCCTACCCAGGGGTGGACTGACAACTCATGGGGCCCCCAGGTAATAGGGGATCATGGGGCCCCTGTGTCCTTGCCCAAACTCAAAAAAGCCTATGAAAAAGGTACCAGGGGCACCTCATGGGGCCCCCTACTGACCCAGGGCCCTCGGGCAGTGCCCGAGTTTCCAAATGGTCAGTCCGCCCCTGTGCCTTCCTGATCCTTCCTTGTGACCTGACCAAGATACTATGCCACCTGCCTAGACCTCAGTCTGCTGACTGATTATACTGTGATACAAGTACTTTGCCGGAATCACTACATATACATACACGCTGTCTTTCCACCACCTCTTTTCATTGTGTAGTAAGTGCCAGAGTCATCAACCTTCATGCTAGCCATCCAATGTAATGTTCTCGAGAGGTGTAAGCATATGATCACTAGCCCTAATTCTCTGACTAGTTCAACCCCATCAGTCCCATCTTTTTTCCCCATAGTACATACACTATGTATAGTGTACTTAGGCTGGATTCACCCTGTTGCATTATGTTGAGGCATCCCGTTCATTTTAAAGGGGTGAGCTCCTGAGGATTTACCCCCCTTAATGACCAGGCCTTTTTTTGCTGTTTGGCGCTGCACTAATTCAAATGATAATTGCGCGGTCATGCAATGCTGTACCCAAATGAAATTTATGTCCTTTTTTCACACAAATAGAGCTTTCTTTTGATGGTATTTTATCATCTGTGCACTTTTTATTTTTTGCGCTATAAACAAAAAAACCACAAACATTTTGAAAAAAAACAATATTTTCTACTTTCAGCTATAAAAAATATATCGTAAACTCAAAGTTAGTCATAAATTTAAGCCAAAATGTATTCTGCTACATGTTTTTGGTAAAAAAAAATCCCAATAAGTGTAATTGATTGATTTGTGTGAAAGTTATAGCGTCTACAAACTATGGTATAGATACTGCAATTTATGCCTTTTTTTTGCTATACAGCGCTGCACTAATTCAAATGATAATTGCGCGGGTTCATGCAATGCTGTACCCAAACGAAATTTACGTCCTTTTTTTCACACAAATAGAGCTTTCTTTTGGTGGCATTTTTCACCTGTGCGCTTTTTATGTTTTGCGCTATAAACAAAAAAACACAAAAATTTTGAAAAAAAAAACTATATTTTCTACTTTCAGCTATGGGAAAAATATATCGTAAACTCAAAGTAAGTCATAAATTTAAGCCAAAATGTATTCTGCTACATGCTTTTGGTAAAAAAAAATCCCAATAAGTGTATATTGATTGCTTTGTGTGAAAGTTATAGCGTCTACAAACTATGGTATAGATACTGCAATTTATGCCTTTTTTTGCTATACAGCACTGCACTAATTTCAAACGATAATTGCGCGGTCATGCAATGCTGTACCCAAACGAAATTTACTTCCTTTTTTTTCACACAAATAGAGCTTTCTTTTGGTGGTATTTTATCACCTGTGTGCTTTTTATTTTTTGCGCTATAAACAAAAAAAAAACACAAAAATTTTGAAAAAAAACCCAATATTTTCTACTTTCAGCTATAAAAAATATATCGTAAACTCAAAGTTAGTCATAAATTTAAGCCAAAATGTATTCTGATACATGTTTTTGGTAAAAAAAAATCCCGTGCATTAGCGGGCAAACTGGCGCTATATGGGAGGGGCGCTAACACTATCGGAAGTCACCAGTGACACTAATACAGTGATCAGTAAAAATCTGTTCACTGTAATCAATGACACTGGTTGCAGGGCAGTGAAGGGGTTAACTGGGGGGGGTGATCAAGGGGTTAAATGGGATTACTGGTGTACTAGCAGGCAAACTGGCGCTATCTTGGAGGGGCACTAACACTATTGGAAGTCGCCAGCGACACTGATACAGTGATCAGTAAAAATCTGTTCACTGATCAATGACACTGGTGACAGGGCAGTGAAGGGGTTAACTGGGGGGGGGGGGGCGATCAAGGGGTTAAACGGGATTACTGGTGTACTGGTGGGCAATCTGGCACTATCTGGG